CCTTATTTCCAGGCCTTGAGCCCGAAATTCAGGCTTCCAGCCTGAACGACGCAGGGCCTGGAAAATGGCCCTCCTGTGCAGGCGCAGCATGTAACAGACGCCCTCTCTCTCTCTCTCTCTCTCTCTCTCTCTCTCTCTCTCTCTCTCTCTCTCTGTCTGTGTGTGTGTGTGTCAACCTCCCACGAGAATGAATCTTCCTCTTTATCAATGAAGATTCACTCTTGTTTGGCATGTCTGATTTCCTGCTTTTTTTTTTTTTTTTGCAGAATGTTGTATGTTTTTTTAACTTTTTTTGTGTTTTTTTCTTTTTTCTCTTTTCCGGGATGTACTACCGGTTGTCCGAGGCTTGGCAATAAAGTCCGAGGCTCGGGAACGATAGGGCTACCGGTAGTCCGAGCGTCGGACTTGATAGCTGGGTGAGGTACTGGTGGTTTAGATAATTTGAGCTTATTTGGGGTGGGCATTCCAAGGGACAACCAAGGGTTGTTGCTGGGACGACGCTGCCCGGAGCTGGGGAGAGTCGTGTTGCCCAGCAGGGTTGGGGTTTGAGGCCTGGAAGAGCTCGGCAGGAAGTAAGATAGTGCTGGAGAGCTTTAGAAGGGTTGCTAGGGATCCACAGGGTTTTGAGCTGTTGTAGGACCTCTGTGGTGGCGTGTTTTGTTGTGAGCAGACCTTTTTTCTAAAGTTTGTTGTAGTAATTTTCTAAGTAGCTCAGAATTCTCTTAGCCAAAGCCGGGCAATGGGCCCGGTATCTCAAACTTTCAAAATTCGACGCTGGGCCCGTTTCCCACCACGTGCTCCTCCCCACGAATAGATTGGAGCCTTGTACCATTAAAACAAATGATAGCTTCTTTTTTTCTCTAAAAAAATAAAGTAAAATAAAATTAAAAATGGGCCGGTTCTAGGGAAAAAAAAAAAGAAACAACGGCGGACGCGGCATGTTTTGAGTTCGCAAAGGCAGACAAAACAGGCAGTGGGCAACTTTGTCATGGGCTGAGTTCGAAAAGGCGGCTGTAACTCAGGCCGGCAGTGGTGTCAGGGTGGAGGTTTCGTTAAGGGGGTTGTGTTTTTTTTGTTTTTTTCCGCATCAGTTTTTTTTTGTCTTTTTTTTTTGGCGCCGGCTGTGGCCCAGCCGCGATGTCTAGGCCACACCCGCGGCCGGGCCACAGCCCCAATGTCTAGGCCACGCCCGCGGCTGGCCATGGCCGTGATGGGCCACAGTCGCGAGGGAAGGGGGGGGAGAAGCCGGGAAAAACAAAAAACAAAAAAAACCAAACACAATAGCCTTAACGAGACTGCCACCCTGACACCACTGCGCGCCTGAGTTACAACCGCCTTTTTAAACTCAGGCCATGACAAAGTTGCAGACTGCCTGTTTTTCCTGCTCATTACAAACTCCCATGTGACATAAACGTACTGCCTTCAAAAAAAAAAAAAAAAAAAAAAGATGCAACCGTGATTGGGAGTTTGAAACGATTGTGGTCACAACTGAAAATGCTGCCTTCGCGGAAACACGCAGCGATTTTATTTTATGCCTTTTAGGGCCTCGCCACACCACTGTCGAAACGAAAAAAGTTCCAGTGCATCTTCACGCAGAACGTGGCAAGATCGTGGTGCAGCTTCACGCAGAACGTGGCAAGATCGTGGTGCAGCTTCACGCAGAACGTGGCAAGATCGTGGTGCAGCTTCACGCAGAACGTGGCAAGACTGTGGCAAGATGCATCCGTTACTATGAATAGCAACGGATGCATCTTACCCCTTTCTGAGGCAGATGCATTCCTTCTGTTTTCGTTTCGACAGTGGTGTGGCGAGGCCCTTATCTTTGGTAGTCACGCCCTCGGCTATATGGCTGGCAGGAAAAGGAGTGGAAATCAGGATCTCTTGCTGTGGATGTATTCTCAGAATGGGATTGGCAATGGGACAATTTTTGGGTATTGCTGGGCACCTTGCCAGCAGATATTCCAATCGACGAAGGATGCGGCTACCTTCTTCCCACGAATACACCGTACGGGCATTATAGCTATATATTTAGACTGAAAGACACCCCAAATTCAGCTATAATGATCGTACGTTGTATTCGGGGGAAGACTGTAGTACGTAGTCCACAGGCATGCAGGGCTATAATTTCTTCAGTCATTTGGGACATAAGGAACAGAGCGGAGCGTGTTTCCAAGGCAAAGGAACTTGGGATGTGGAAGTGAAGGATTTGATTCGGTCTAGGCTCAGGGCATACTCACACTTCTACGTTTTTGCGTATTTTTTGGACGGAACTGTGGCCAGATACGTCCAGGCATGGCGTGGAATGCGGTCAGAGACATTTGAGATACTGCTAGTGTGAGTACGCCCTCAGACAGTACATTGAACCGCCAGTACACGGCCCCAGCCTTGCAGAAAGTACAGAGAAGATTAGCATGGCTCCTGCGCAAGGATGACACGCATAAATCAGAATTGGTCCAATTTCTTTTTCTACGAAAAAAAAAAAAAAAAAACTCGGAGGGGCCCTGCGGTGAGTAGTAGTACAGATGAACTCCATGCAACGACACAAGGTGAAAAAACAACTCAGGTAGTGAAATAGAAAAGAAGAGGAGAGAGAGAGAGAATAGACAACATGAAAACCCCGAGCGCATCTGCGCATAAGATATTCAATGAATGAATAGAAAGATGGCGAAAGTCCGAAGTGGTGCGGTTCCACGCCCACACCCGCGGGCCTATGTGACAAACAGTTGTAGTTTTAAAAAATTCGAAAGGGTTTACGTGGTTTTTGAGTAACAGGGAAAGGGTTTACTCGGTGGTTTTTGAGAACCTGGGGTCGGGGGAAATCCTCCAATTGGTTTAAATTGGCAACAGCGGACTCCG